CGGCTGCGCTCTTCAGTGCTGCGTGCGATCTTTGGGCCGCTGCACTTCAACGTGGATGATCCCTGAGGTAAGCTTTACGTACTTTGCGGTGTTAAATGTGGAAGCTGGGCAGCACTTGGCAACAGGTGTCAGTCAAGGAATGCCTCAGGCATTTGAAAGATGTACCTTTCACCTGACCCAGTGTCAATGCCGCTTCCCAGCTTTATCGCATCAAGGTGACAGGAGTTTTTTGCCAGCCTCTTGGCGAGCCAAAGATGATCATGTAAAGCTTCCAACTGGACAGTGTTTGAGTGGGCTTCAGTTGTAATTTTAGGTCCTGGGGGGTCTCCTGGAGCGAGTGAGGTCTGCCATTGACAGTGCCCAAAACGATCATGCCAATATCGTGCATGCAATGCTGGCAAATAAAGAGGACAGGGTCTCTCAATGTTTGAAAGAGGATTGTGTTGGGTGTATATTTTGTTACTATTTGGGCACCACGCAGAAGCCTTGACAGGCTCATATTGACAAGATTCGCTCTTTGTTCTCTCAGCTTGGTGCCGACAAAACAGGCGTCATCACTTATGCCATGCAACCAAGCAGCAAAAAGATGAAACCACCATTTACTGTAGTTTATGCCCACAAGTAGATGCTGCAAATGGCTAGGACCAGAAGCCATTGCGGTAGGCTAGGCTGCCAATGCCCACAAGTAGATCGCAGTAGAAAACATTTCGGACATAGTACATACACCATTCAGTTTTGTTCCAGACAACGGCCAATTCCCAAACAAAGGCAAAGGAAAGGACAGACATGATGGAACATAGATATTGCGCTTGGTCTCCTGAATGCTTTCAGCCATTTGCCATTGCTCAAAACACTGGATGACAGCAAACTCAGGTTTGAAGAGGGGATCAATTCGCCTGCCACCTGCGAATACTTCGAATCTTTGGGCAGCTCGGCTATGCTCAGATCATACTTTCTTCCCAGTTCCGTGACTTTTGGCGGTCTTCGTGCTTTGGCCACCTCACATCGACCGTTACACAACATACTTTGCCGAAGCCCAAGGGCCGAAGCGTTACAAGGCTTGGATGTGTGGGACGCCTGGTCGTTCTTCAAGTTGTTGGACTTGGACAAGGGCAACTCGACTGCATTCTTCAACTCGCCAAATTCAGATCTGAGTTTTGCCAAGCATGCTATTTTTTCAGGCCCGCGAGAGACAAATGACTTCACTTGACTTTTCAATAGCATGTCTTAAACTAAGTAGTAGCTGCTGGCATTACTAGTAGTAACAAGATGTAACAAGAAGCTATTATATAGATCTATATAGTAACAAGGGACATCGCTACTAGGAGCAAGGAGCTACTAGCAGACAGAAGCTAGTTCTTATCTATAAGCTACTAGTAACAAGGGCATCGCTATTAGTAACAAGTGCACTGCTACTAGTAGCTAGACTAGACTTTCTATGTGACAAATGTGTGTCACACGAGCCTCGTGCACAAGGTGGCGCCGTGGAGATTGAGGAAGGGAGACGGGAACATGAGCAAGATCGGATATCGCACTCGCAACGGTTGACTCCCCGTGGTCATGGATAGCTCAATGTTTGAAGAGAAAAGAAGAATAACTGAACTTGAGAAGTGTGAGCATCCTGACAGGAATTCTTCAAGGGCTGCTTGAGACTCCGAGGTCAAGCCCGTGGAGTGGATGTAGGAAAGATCCTTCATGATGCTTGGTTTATATATCTTGGCCACACGTGCTTTGTGATGGCTGCTTATTGTTTTTCTCCAACTGAAAGGCCTTTGGCAATGCGGCAATGTTCTGAATATTTTGGCTTGAAGTATCTTGAGGTTCGAAGTGAATAGATAGCCTTTCCCGTAGCAAGCTTCTTCCCGCGGTTTAGGACCAGACTTGGCTTATCAAGAACACGGGTCACTTCCAGGCCATTCTGCCCCAAGCTTGGCCATTCTGGCCAGTCCGGGAGGTATGATGCAGTATGTATGTTCGCTCATTGTCAGTCACTGAGATTGCCCGCTTGGAAATGAGAATGAGCGGCCAATCTGGCATTTGGGGATGGATGTGTTCAAAGCTGATCGAACATTAGGCGATCCTCCATTTTGTATCCGTTCAACAGAGCCAGTACAGCGTGTTCTATTGAAACCACAACAGAAAGATCGTCGATGCCGGAAGTTGTTGGGTGACATGTGACATGTGTTCAGAATTGGTTCGTTCTTCGCCTCCAGGCTTACATGGAGGTGAAGATGAAGCAGCTTACCGAAATGAATCTTGGCAAGCTTTCAGCTGACGTTCAGCACACAACACGCGTCCAGCACTTTCAGAGTTCCTGCCTCCATCGCATTTTAGGAAGAGGCACACCGATTATTTAAGGAGTGGAGTAAATGCACCCTTTGGGTGGTTGAGAAGTTGCACAAAATCCAACAGGTGTGCAGATCGTTTGCCACCCAGTCTAATAAATGTTTATGAATCAGGACGCGTCGCACATTGGTGGCACATTGATCATAGCACAATGGCCTACAGTGGCCTACAGGCCAGCATTCGATGTTGCAAGGCATCACGGGTTGCCATGGCTACATTCGACTAAGCATTGATCCTACCTACAAGACCGCATGCTGGATCGCCGGTCCGCAGAACGCTGGGAACCAAACCAGTTGCTAGTTGAATCATTTTTGGGGGTGAACCTGTTCCCTTGCTTGGTCAGCAGATTGACTGGCCTTGCCCCGAGGACCAGGAGAAGCAGGCCGACAATTCAGCAATAAGTGCCCCATGGAACGTTGCATCCTAACGCAGGCTGAGCAAGGAGGTTCTTAATCTGAGTGCTTTTGTGCTAGCTAGAGGTTGCAATGCAGGTGGCCATTTTATATAGACTAGTTACACATCCAAAACCGGCCAAGGGTAAGCCGCTAAGCCAAGGTTGTGGCACAAGCTTACACCGAAGGATGATAAGAGGCCTTGCATGAGCAGTGGGCACAGCCTTAACAAGATATAGCAAGATGTCGAAAGGCAGCACTGTTCCGCAAACAACGCACCAGGAGCAAGAGGCCGCTTGCCCAAATTGTAGTAGGCAGCGTGCAAAGCCAAATGCACAATAATACTTATATAATCTTATATATATATATATTTTTTTTTATACTGTATATAGTATACAATTATTACACGTTGCTACATTGTGCCGCCCTGCCCGCATTATCCCGTGCTACTTGGGCCCAGCTACTCAATTTGCAGTTTTTTGGCTCCAATGTGTAGGTGGCCGCAACTGGCTTACAGCGTCAGCATGCTGTTTGCACAGCCTGAACAAACAACGTGAGATAAATTTTGCACTTTGACATTCTCCAGCACACTCCGCACTTCAGGATGTCGCAGTTTACCGGGCTCAGCGTGGACAACTCTTGGTCCCGACAAATCAGTGCCTGAGCCTGGCGGTATCCTTGCTTGCGAGGAAGTCGACTTTCAGATGAGAATGAATCGAAGTTCAACCTCATGATTCAGGATGCTGATAAATACTCACAATGTCTTTGCCATTGCCCATTGTTCGCAAGAAAGAGGTACATCGGCAATGCTCTCCTGGTTGACCAGCCTCCTAAGCACAGCTCCTGTCGGATGCATGTGGAACTTCCAAAGCATGGTGAACACCGCTTTGCAGACTTTGACATCTCCAAGAGATGGCAAATGATGCTTGCTAGCAAGGCAGCAAGGTTTCTTTGGGCCATGCTCGGAGAGCTTTGGCACAGCAAGTCACAAGTTTGTGCAACTCAAAGCGTTAGGGCGGGTCATCGAAAGCAAGATAACGCAATACGTGTGCAGCTTTGCGTCCGGGAATTTGGCTCAGCATCCATCCTAGATCTCCTAATTGGTTTTCTAGACACCTGACCCAAGTGGTGAAGGAGATATATAACCACCAGTGAGTCCACCAGTGCTTCTCGAAGAAAGCGAGCAAAAAAGAGGGTCTTGCGGTTGCGACCCCTCCAGCAGGAGGCGGGAGGTGGACGCACAGCGGCCTTTTCTCAGCCGGACCAGAGTCATGTTGTTTGATGTCAGCTATGACCCTAAGATGGAATTGAACCCCATTGGTTGGACGCGTCCAGTCCAGGTGCCACGGAAATGCAAGCACAATAAGACCACACCACATCTATAGTTCATAGCCTTTTGCATCAATTCCGTCTAGAGGTAATGTTGATTCATTTTGAGCGTGGCAAGCTCGGGCTTTCTTGGGCAACTAAGTTGCTGCAAGAGGGTCCAAACTAGCCCAATGTTGAATAGAGTCGAGCATTAAATTCGTAGATATCCGGTATCAAAAAGAAAGCCGGTAACTAATTATAGCCTTGGCCTGCATGTCTTCTGCCAAGTCACTGTTGGCACAGCAGATAGCTGGGCATCGGACCAGTGATCGTTGGGTAAGTTCGTGCGCTTGAAAAGCGGAAGTAAAGGACATGTTGAGGCTGCGGCGGGTCTTATAGCAACGACGGATCAGCACCTGACCCTTACTTCCAAAAAGAGGAACCACTGCAGGTCAGGTTTTCAAGAACTACTGTGATACTCTTTACGCAATGGGCTTGGTTGGTATGGAAGCTGGATTGTGCTGTGACATGTTTTCGGACAAGTGCCAAATCAATTGAGTTCACCGGTTGTGGGCCTGATGCAGTCGTTCACTTTCACTTAGGGAATTATGTGTGCACCCTGATTAGGGCCATTCAGGATCCTGAAGACAAACAAAACAACATACGGTCCTGCCGTTTGTGAATCTCTGCATGCGCGATCATGCGCGGAGGCTTCACCACAGCTTGTGCACCCAATTTCCGCATCCCAGGCCAGATGTATCAGTTTTGTGATTCATCAGGTTTACGGAGTGTTTGAGCTCTCATGGAACCTCATGGATGAAAAATTGAATGGTGGGATCCGATGTTCAGCAGAACATGGGGCTATGGCGATCAGCTTGCCAATGGTGGACTCAATTACTCCGAAAGCTACTGAAAACGAGGGCGAATATAGAAACAACGGCGGGATGGTGCGCATATACGACATTTACATATAGAGAAAAGAGAGAGGGAGTCTAGTATTTACATACTGTATGTTAACATTCTTTGTTTATTTATGTTTTCTCAGAAGCTGTTTCAGCTGTCCTGGGCCGTCATTTGCTCTTGGGGTCTCTCTCTTATCACGAAAGGCAGCCCTTTAGGGGATACCTTGAGTTTGTCTTGCGAAGCAAGTGTTGGGACGTCCGGGTCTAATAATTGATCGCTCAATTCAGACCCCCCCCCCTCGAATTGATTTTTCAATACAGACCCCGCCCCTCCCCCCCTCTAAAATCAATTCTCTCCTGGAGAACGTCTTCGTGAGCCTCTCATGATTTCAGGATAGTTGAAACCCTCTTGAACATTTAGAAAGAGTGAATATGAAATTCTAATCACCAAAGGTGTTCCCCGAGGGGATACATACCTAGAGTTTGTTTTGTGAAGCACGTCAATTCTCTCCTGGGGAGCGTCTTCGTGAGCCTCTTATGGTTTCAGGATAGTTCAAATCCTATGATGTTCCGATTCAATGCTCACCGATGATCTGAGCCATGGGGCAAGTTTGTTTTCCTAAGAACCTTTTTGAACATTTCGAGAGCATATGTTTGAACATTTAGAGTGCATATGAACATATATTTACGAAAGGTCGCCTCCGAGGGGATAAATCACCATGTCGAACATTGCATTTTTGTTCCTGCCTCTCGCGTTCTCTTCTCTTCCCGCTGTCCTACCTTTCGTGTCTCCCTCCTCTCAAGTTTGTTTCTCCGCCCCATGAGGTCACGACGCCGAGGCTAGACCGTTGGGTCAATGAGATATGGCCATGTCATTTTGGGAGGGAGCAAGAGCGCAAAAGATTTGTGAAGGTTCATTCGTATGTGGATTCATTAATTGGGTGGACGATTCTATGTCCACATGTAAAGACCTCGGCAAGTTGCTATGTCCCAATTGCTGCAGGCCCGTGCAGTTGGTTTTGCCGGTGCCTGCCCGCAGTGCAGAAGGAGGAGGTGCTTCATGGCGCTAAATCCGACAATATGCAGGACAGAAAACTGAACATGCATCAACATGTTCAAAGATCTAAAAGCACTCAAAAGATCCTAAAAGCATTATGTTGAACGAAAGCCTGGGAGGTTTCATCGTCCTGGGTAGGTTAGGGAGAAGCTCGTGCAAGTATATAGTGTAATAGCATCAGCTTTGCCATTAAATTGTATAATTGTACTGTAAGTGGGCTACTAACTAACGGGCTGCAACGGGCTAACCCTTTTGAAAGGGTTGGTGACATTCAGAATGCCAGCACTCACTGCCATGCCAGTTGCTGATTGCAGCTGGTCTATCCGGCCATGCTTAGATGAGGACATTGGATGAACTTGGGCATTGTGGCTAGCTAGAATTGAATCGACATGAATATAGACCAAGCAACACTAAAAAGATCGGAGTACACTGTCGTTCCTCAGCCTGGGTGGGGTGGACTTCGAGCTGAAAACGATCGAAGAGAGAGAGCTAGAGAAATTAATCTTCTGTACAGAGCGGATTCTTGGTGTTGATCAACTGATCTTTCTTGCTGGATGATTTTGGGTGCGCTTGGTTGCATCCTGCGTTGGCTTGTGATGCTTCAGAGTGTTTCATCAGCAAACTATGCAAACTGAATGTATATTATATGTTATTGAGCGCGATTTCAACTGTGCGATCCTCCGATGATTATCGCTTGAAAATGTCGAAAGGATGCCACGGTTTTTCCACCCATGATTCCGATGGCGGGGGGCCTCATTGCAGCTTTTCTCACGCTTGGTCTTCTACTGTAGTATGACGTCAGCATCTGGAACTTTGTGCAGCTTGTACCAACTTCAAGCTAGTATCTTGCAGTGTTGGGTCACTACGCTGGTGAAGCCCCTTCACCCCTTCAGTCATTGAGTGTTGTGTGATGTTTGTATGACATGACTTGAAAGCTGGTTTACCCGGTACATACATTATATATATACATACAGTTTCCCAAGTCTGGGAATGTTTGGGATATCGAGTGCAGAGTATGACTTTCCTCTTGACCCCAAGACTGCTTGGAGGCCCTACTTGGTGGAGCGATGTTTGTGCGCAAAACACCGAATATGTGTCATTGCCATTACATTCTTGTCCACTTGTGGCAACAACGACTGAGAATGTTCATCCGGGTTTTGCTCAGGCTCCCCAGCCACAACAGGTCTCTTCAGCTAGGAGAGCTGGGCTTCCGCATCACTTGAGAGCTGTCATGAGCAGCGCTTAGCACTCGCTGCGGACTTCTCACTGTTTGGAGAACAGGCTGCATACGCCACGCCATGGATTTTTTACGTGACTGTTCCGTGTCTTTCCGCTCCAAGGTGTTGCTACTTTTGGGGGACGGTAGGGAGGTGGGTAGACTGCGTGTGGTGGGTGGGCTAAGGGCGTTCCCCAGTGACCTTGCCGTGTTTCTCACCGAAGGAAGAGCACCCGGCCCTTGCCGTCAAGACCTTACGAGACTTGGAAAGACGGGCAAGATTCAAACCTGTTAGGCCGACACATATATATATATATCCCTCCTCGATCAAGTGATGCCATGATGTGCCTCTGAAATTCAACACTTGAACCAGTTGCTCCTCAGAATGCCATGTTCAGCAGCATGCGCTTCCTTGTTCCAAGCTTTTGCTTGGAGTTTTTGAGCAGTTCCATGCCGCGTTTTGTTGCCTCAGCACCTTTTGTTTCAGGTCTCGTCTCCAACGTTTGGATGATCAGACGGTCATGCCAAGGGAGGCCAGTCACCATGTCTTGTGAGTGAATAGACTCTAGGACAGCCCTTGATTCAGATTGATGCGATCGTCGTGTTTCATTTTTTGCAAGGCTGTGGGACTGTAAGAGTGTAAATTAAATGGGGAGCTTTAAGAGAAAACTCCAAGCGCAAGGCTGCAGTCATGGTGGAAGAAGACCAAGGGTGATATGGGAACACGTTGTGGCATATGGCTCGGAAGCCGGCTTTGCCAAATGCCCAGATAGGCTGAGAAATCAATTGAATCATAGCTGTTGCATGGCTCATGGTCCCAAACCCTCGGTTGAATGGAGATGTTTATGGACCACGTTCTGATGGCCTGAGGCTCATTTTATATAACACATTTTAACAACTGAGTTGGTTGGCTCCCCAACCAATCAGGAAATGCTTGACCGAAGACAAGCCATGGAGTCTGCCGGAGAACATGGCGCTCGCTTTGCGGACGCTGGAAGCCGAGGCAAGCAAACGTGCTTTTCGCCGCCATGTCATCATTGGTCCATAGAGCGAAAGGACCATTGGAAGCCAACAAGTGTTCCATGTTTTTGTCATCCAAGTGTCGTTCATCCCATTTCTCGATGTCCTCTGTTGGTGGTTCCCGTTGAGGTGGGCCTCAGCAGGTTTCTGCCGGGAGCCCGGCTACAAGGAGTTCTTCGTCGCCGCTTCGTGCGAGACTTGCAGCGCCATGATGTCCTACAAAGCGGAGAGGTGCTGTCACTTCGGCTAGGGAGAAGCATGGAGAAACCACCAAAGACCCGCTTGCAGACCTCATCAAGCCTGGATAACTCCATGACACAGACTAGCAACCTGAGTAGGCACAGCCCTGACAGTGAGGCAACGACCTGCAGCTGCTCTGACGGGCTGTGCAGATGTTTGCAAATGTTACGGCAACCGTCTCTCTTCTGGTGGCCGCTCCAAAGCTGTCTCCACCTCCTCAGCTCCACTCACCTTCAGAAGCCCATAAGTAGAGGTGCTGGCTGAGCTGCCCTGTCTCCCTCTACGCCATACACACACAGCTGCAGACTCACTCCCAAGGCTCCCGGCAATCTCCTCCGCCACGCTTTTCCACCATCTAATTCCACACCAAAAAGGGGCGCCGCGGCGAGCCAGACTGCCTATCGTCTCCTTCGGCCGAGCGTAGCAAGCGGCCATGGCCGGAGGGGAGCCTGCAGACCACGCCAAATCGGGTTCGGAAGCCCAGAGGCAGAGGTGCAGGCCGAGCGTAGCCAAAGAGCTGGCACACATGTCTCTCCTCTTCCACGTGTTGAGGCGGCCCATGGCCGGAAAGACTCACGCCCAAGGCTCCCGGCTTGACACTGCAAGGCACATACACTGGCAACGGCTTCCACCCTGCGCGCCGCCCTGGCTGGGCATCAGCTAGGCCGGGGTCGGCGAATATAACTTCACCACATTGCCAAGGCCAAGTCAAGAAACACAAGCGCACAAGCGCTTGCGAAATCTTGTTGCAGCCAAGAGCTGTGTCAGGCTGTCAGGGCTAGGATGCATATTAACATGACACAAAAAATCAATGAGTTCCTCAGTGGAGCAGGCAGCTTGCCGCATTCCGAGGCATCTCACCAGTTTGGGGCCTGGGCCTGCGAAGGCTCCTTTTCAGTGTGCCGTGTATACCTGCGGCAGGGGCGACCTGAGATCCCGCTTGGCAGAGGATGAGAAACGCATGTCGGCATGTGTACCGACACGCATCGAATCGGGCGGCCGTTGGCCTGGCCAAATGAATAGCATAGCTTTGCAAGTTAGTTTTGTTTTTGCATTTTTTGCAAACTTTGAAAACGGAAGGAGCTGCATGTGCCCAGCGGCGCTTTTCGGATGGGCCCACAGCTGCGAATCCCTGGCGTTTCGGTGCAGCTAATGACGCTCCCGAAAGGCCTCAGGGCCGACACTGTTCCACAAAGGTCTGGTGGAGTGAAAGGAAAGGGGCAAACAGCAGCAAGACATACAATTAAGTTTGTTGGATTGGATCGTATTGGATTCATACGAGTACAATGCCCTTTTTGCAGTCAGGCCTGTCCGACAAGACACCAGATGAAGTCTTGAAGAGTGGCATGTTGAAAGGCCCGGAATTCACGCAACTCGGCTAGACGATCTTAACCGCATCTCGCATCACCACCGGTAGGAAGATTTGTTTGATTCTGCCATAGCAAACCCAGTATTGCACGTTGCCTGGGATAATTTTTCCTTGTGTCAGGGTGGCACTGGGTCCTGCAGATTTGGCAGCTCGGATGGACTGGGCATCGGTTCCATTTTTGCAGTTCTCAGAATAAAGACGCCTCGTATGCAAGGCCAGCTTGCTTGTATGCATTGTTGGTTTGGTCTCACGTTTGCGGATTTTGCTGCACGCTTGCGTGCTAACTGATGAGCTTATCAGCTTAGCTCACTCAAGTGCTAAACTATTATTTATATATTGTTATATCGACAGCAGTTGAAGCTGAGATGGATGTCAAATTTTACGATTTCTATGCATCGCTGGTACGACCATGTTTGACGATTGATCAGTTGAGCCAAGGCCATGCCTGCAGCTGGGAAGCTACGCTGTGCAGGGCACCGGTTTACCATGGTTTTGCGTGGCTTGAGCCAGAAACAGCTGTCCACGGGTCTAGTGGAAGAGCGTTTGGAGGACCGTTGGAATCACTGGATTGAACCATGTGTGAGTTCAAGATGAGATTGAATGCAGCCCATTACTTCACGCTTTTGTCAATGCAGGGCAGGACATTGCACTGTATATTTGCAGCGAAGTGACATGACGATTTTGACTCGGGAGGCGACCAGCGATGCATGCCATGTTTCTTCAGGTAAGGTTGCCTTGTGCTCCGCCGCATGTTTTTCTTAAGGGTTTTGCCCAAGACACTGACCGAATCAAATGCCCGTGGAACGTGAAACAAGGAGGGCCTTCCAAGATCTTCCATGGAAGGAAACATGCCTCATTCTCGATGACGTTGAAAAGCGTGATTTGTCCACGCAGTGCTTCAGGAGATCCGCGAGAATGGCTTTGTGAACTTCTTTGAGCCTCTCAGAAAAACATGTTAAAGATTTAGATGTTGAGACATGAAAGAGACACCAACAGACTACAGACATGCTAAAAAGACCTAAAAAGGCTTGAGACACCAGTCTTTGCACTGCAAGACATTGGTGTTTGCACATGTGTGCGCTGCTGACTCGATGGTTCTCGTGTCTTTCCATCCAGGCTCAGCCACTTTGGACTCGCGGAGGTGAGACGCTTCGAAATCGGCGCGGCTCTGTGGGGTGGACATTGGGCGAATGCTGCACACCTGCTGCTCACAGCCAACCGGGCCGATGCCCTTCGCCCTGCCTCCAAGGCGAAGTTTGACATGGTAGTCAGCTTGACATCGCTTGACATCACTTGACTACATGATACACACTCCAAACAAAACTAAATCTAACTCGAAGTCTCTAAGTATTATATATATATATGAGCGTCGTTCAAAAACCCACCTCTTCCTTGTTAGTAATCGAATTTCAAAGGCTGATTTCGAGTGTGCTCTCACTGCAGTCGCGAAAGGTTCGCGAAGGTCCTGCGAAAGGTCTGCGCAAGTCATGTTGGTGACCTGGCCACGCTGCAAGAACAGACTTCCGATTGCTTTTTCCCGGGTTGGGAAAAAGCAAATTGGAAATCTGAACCATTTTGCTTTTTCCCGGCCCGGGAAAAAGCAAATTGGAAGTCTGAGCCTTTTGCTTTTTCCAGGCCTGGGAAAAAACAAATTGGAAGTCTGAGCAAACTGGCCTGACTGAGCCGTCTCTTGTTCATGGAGGGTTGAGCCCAACCAAAAACACAGCAAAATGAAAATGGCTTGGTTGGAAGTCTTGACCATTTTGCTTTTTCCCAGCCAGGGAAAAAGCAAATTGAAAGTCTAGACCATTTTGCTTTTTCCTGGAAGTCTGAGCAGACTGGCCCGACTGAGCCGTCTCTTGTTCATGGAGGGCTGGGCCCAACCAAAAACACACCAACATGAAAACTGCTTGGCTGGGCCCAACCAAAAACACACCAACATGAAAACTGCTTGGTTGGCTGGCTTCCTGTTCCTCAGCAATCAATGTGTCAGTGATCAGAGCACACAAGACGTGCCAGGGCAACTGCATGAATCCTTGAAAGCCCCTAGCCCCAACGAAAAACCATTATCGCCGACAGTGGTAAAACCCCACGCGCGAAAGCTTGCGAAAGCTTCGCGAAGGTCCTGCGAAAGGCCTGGAAAAAATGAAAGGACTTTTGAACAACCCCCATATATATATATTATATATATATGTATTGAAGCGTTTTTGTCATGCCCGGGATCGGTTTTGTTTTCCTTTGCGAGATGTCAATAGCTTGCAAGGCCTTTGCAGAGAAAGATTATGCAAAGGGATTGGAGCTGCTACCCACGGGCAACAGCTGCAAGGGCTTGCGCAAATTAGCCATGAACTTGTGTCTCGATCGATGGATGTGACTGATTTCAATGGTGCTCCGCGATGCTCCGCGTTTCTCTCCGCTTTGGAAGTCGCATGTTGACATCATTGCTCCTAATAGTAATAACCCATGATCATTGATTGTGATAGTTTGGTCTTTGATTGTGATAGTTTCATTTTTTCTTGTTATGAGTCTTAAACCACATATCTGTAACTTATGGTGGAGTTCCTGAACACCCTGAGTTGCTTCATGATGGTGTTTCTTTGCAGCAATGTAAATTTGAGGTGTCAAGCCAAGACAGGGGCGGGGGTGGTTCGTGCTACTTAAAGCCTGACACTAGGCAAATTGGACCAAGTCATCAGTCAGAGAGTTTGGCATATATTTTTTACTGATCTAGGTTGTCTGATCTAGGTTGTAGCAACTTCTTTGTGAGCAAAAAAATTGTAGACATTGTAAATTAAGTTCAATGTAGTTTGGCATTTTACATCCATGATCTTGCTTTGTGTGAGTTTCTTTGAGTAAATGTATTGATATGTTTGATTTTGCAAGTAAACAGAAACAGTTTTGAGACGCCGCACCTGTCTGTCAGGCCCTGTCAGGAATGAAGCAATACTAAGGCCACTAAGGAACTAGACATCTTCAACTTCAAGAAGGCAATTTTTTAAACTTTCCACCGAATAGGTGGATAGCACCGAACAGGTGCTTCTTTTTTTTGGGGGGGGAGGGGCAACACCAGTGGAGCACTTAGTTTCAGTCCTTGCACATATGCAGGACTCATACTTCCAGGCTGGATAAATATCTATAGCCGAGGTCTTTGGGAATATCCAGGACTTTGGAATTTCTTTGAAAATACCATCAAAAAACTACTGTTCAGTTCAACAATATATAATATATTATAAGAAACAAACAAAGTGCCAGCTCTGGATATATATACTTTCTTTTCTTCAGTTGCATTGCAACCACTCACACTTCTCAGAGTCAAATTTGAAAAGGGCTAAGTTCAGTCAGGAAAGAGTGCATGACTCTGGACTAAGGCTCACACTAAGGCATGCTAAGGTCATCGCCCACAAAACCAGTTGTCAAGTTGAACACGGACTAGGTGTCAAACACTGTCATGGTGGTTGTTTCATGTTTGGGTATTGATTTTCACTCCATCAACCCATTGCAACTCATGCCATTTCCTTCCAAGCCTACCCCATCTATTATTTCTATCTTCAAGATTTCCTGGCCACACCTCAGCACCACACACTCCTTTCTCAATCACCAGTCACACATTGCCTCATTGCACCCTTGATTCGAGCTTCATTCACACTTTTCTAGTCATCAATTCATTTTGTCCTGTCAATTTGCCAAGCTCCCCATTGATGCTCTCAGTTCATATTTCTTTGTGTATGCAAGCTGAAGACTAGTTATTAATGAGCTCTCCAAACCTCAGTGTTTGTGGCAAAAAAACTGGATTCAGAATTTGGCTTCAAACATCCACTTCATTCATCTTAAGCCAACTCACGGCCATGCAGGAAATAATGCATATGTGTGGGCTAAGGGTCGCACTAAGGCACACTGAGGTAATCGCACTTGTGGCAAGCTTAGGAACAACCACGGATTGAATTCAGTTTGGCCCGGTTCATGGTAGCAACCTATTTAGGTCTGAAAGGAAAATTAATGCCAACCAAACATCACTCACTGCAATATATACATTCCAATCATCCCATTCAATTGAAGTCCAACAAGTTTTCAACATTCATTGAGCCCCTCAATCGAACTTCCAGCCCTTCCCACCACCATTTGCCCTTCCATCCCAGCAGCAGTTCTCATAGCATCTCTGTTCAACCAACCATCCACACATTCACTTCTTCATACAGCCCACCCACACATTTTTTTCACTCATCCAATCAACCCACAGTTTTTTGTCCAAAAGAGTGCACAGTGTTATTGTCCACACATTTTTCAGAATGTGCTTTGCTTGCTTGTGAGTGAAGTGCTTGTGAGTGCATCACTGTTTAACCATGGGCAGGCTTTCACCTAAGGAAAACCAGGTTCAAGGTCATTGCCAATGTTTAATCTACTGTCAGCAACCTAATGGTCCATCTTTGATCTACTTTAATTTGCTCAAAAGCATACATGTTTACGCCAAGGCTTGGTAGTATGTATTCTGTGACAACTTTTGGATAATTTCCAGGGCTTGAAAGGAAACATAGCATACTCTATATATATATATACATTTTACTTTTGATGGATAGTTTCAAAAAGTATGGTGCACTGTAGAACATGCATGTATATGCAATAGCACAGGTGCCCTTTTGAAGTGATCATATTTTTAACTATAAGAATATAGTTCTATTTCGTAATTGTATAGACTGATACTGTGTTTGTTCAAAGTTGATCAGACCATAAGTTGGCCCTAGGACTGTGATTCTGCAAACTAAGGATGCGCCAAACTGAGGCCATCACAAAAACAAACTAAGGTTCCACCACTGAGTCTCTCATTGCAAGACCTGCACAGAGTCTCAGCCTTATATCAAGGCTGTTTGCTTGATAAACACATATCCACAATGTAATCATGGAATGAAACAACAAACTATTAAAAAAAAATGTGTCTAAATATTGATGCTGGAAGCTCTTTGGTTGATCAGTCCTTTAAAAAACAAAACAACCAGGCTTCGGATATCAGTATTTTGTATAGAAACATCCATATATGAGTGTATGTACCTAGATACTGTATCTAGATAGTGTATATCCGCAATGCCATTCAGAAGACCGGCAAGAACATTACATTCCAGGTTGTGGAACCAAGCAAGGAGAGTGACTGCCAAGTTGCCTTCGTGCTGGCGTACGTTGGTTCCCCTGAGTGGGCTGCGCGCGTTTCAAAAGGCGCTGGACGGTTGACGGCTGCTGATCTTGGAGACAGGCCTTCATGTGGGGATGCTCATTATCCTCTTGTGTTCCATATTGACAACCGGAACAATCCCCGCCGGCGCAGTGAGGCAGCTCTGGAAGCACGTAAAGCCAAGCGCAAAGACAAGATGAAAGAGCAGAGATCCGCGGCAAAAAAACACACCAAAAGCCACAGAAATGATGCTGGAGCTGGAGCATATAAATTTGTGAGGTTGGCATCAGGATGTGACATCAGTCCATCAAGCATCAGTAGGGGTAGTGTGCTTTGGTTGTTAAAAAAGATCGCAGCCAAACACAGATATCATTTAGAAAATATCATCCCAAGAAATGAGTTTGGCTTGAAGCTTGCCTAGTAGTCATAATCCATGATGGGATGAAATTGAAGATTTGCCAACATATAACTTTGTAGTCTGCCGGCCATGATGGGATGAAATTGAAGATTTGCCAACATATAACTTTGTAGTCTGCCGGCTCTGTCAGCCCTGAAGAAAACCACTTGATTGGGAAATGGTACACCAAGCCACCAAACCATTAATCCATTATGGGATGCACCTGGCAACCAATAAACTCATTATGGGATTATCATCCAGCAACCAAGAAACTCATAATCCATTATGGGATTTCACCCGGCAACCAAGAACGTCATAATAATCAATTATGCAAACTGAGGCTGTTAAATAAATATTTTCAATATAGATAATTAATATTAATGTATTTTAGCAGCCCAACACAAAACACTTAATCCATTATTGATTAAGAAATAGTGCCATTTCTCATCATCCCATAATCACTATGAGGCACTGGTCACCCCCACCAGTGCCATTTCTAAGGGTGATTATGGCAAGGCCTTAGAAATGGCACTAACATTCAAAACCTCATAATCATTAATTTCTTAATCCCATAATGGATTATTAGGGTTTTTGTGTTGGGCTGCTAAAATATATTTATCTTGATTTAATTTATATCTGGCATTTGAAACCTCATAATCCATTATGGGATGATGAGAAATGGCACTGGTGAGGGTGCCCAGTGCCATTTCTCATCATCCCATAATGGATTATGGGTTTTTGTGTTGGGCTGCTAAAATATACTTAATTTATATTTGGCATTCGAAACCTCATAGTGATTATGGGATGATGAGAAATGGCACTATTTCTTAATCAATAGTGGATTAAGTGTTTTGTGTTGGGCTGCTAAAATACATTAATATTAATTATCTATATTGAAAATATTTATTTAACAGCCTCAGTTTGCATAATTGATTATTATGACGTTCTTGGTTGCCGGGTGAAATCCCATAATGGATTATGAGTTTCTTGGTTGCTGGATGATAATCCCATAATGAGTTTATTGGTTGCCAGGTGCATCCCATAATGGATTAATGGTTTGGTGGCTTGGTGTACCATTTCCCAATCAAGTGGTTTTCTTCAGGGCTGACAGAGCCGGCAGACTACAAAGTTATATGTTGGCAAATCTTCAATTTCATCCCATCATGGCCGGCAGACTACAAAGTTATATGTTGGCAAATCTTCAATTTCATCCCATCATGGATTATGACTACTAGGCAAGCTTCAAGCCAAACTCATTTCTTGGGATGTTATTTTCTAAATGATATCTGTGTTTGGCTGCGATCTTTTTTAACCACCAAAGCACACTACCCCTACTGATGCTTGATGGACTGATGTCACATCCTGATGCCAACCTCACAAATTTATATGCTCCAGCTCCAGCATCATTTCTGTGGCTTTTGGTGTGTTTTTTTTGCCGCGGATCTCTGCTCTTTCATCTTGTCTTTGCGCTTGGCTTTACGTGCTTCCAGAGCTGCCTCACTGCGCCGGCGGGGATTGTTCCGGTTGTCAATATGGAACACAAGAGGATAATGAGCATCCCCACATGAAGGCCTGTCTCCAAGATCAGCAGCCGTCAACCGTCCAGCGCCTTTTGAAACGCGCGCAGCCCACTCAGGGGAACCAACGTACGCCAGCACGAAGGCAACTTGGCAGTCACTCTCCTTGCTTGGTTCCACAACCTGGAATGTAATGTTCTTGCCGGTCTTCTGAATGGCATTGCGGATATACACTATCTAGATACAGTATCTAGGTACATACACTCATATATGGATGTTTCTATACAAAATACTGATATCCGAAGCCTGGTTGTTTTGTTTTTTAAAGGACTGATCAACCAAAGAGCTTCCAGCATCAATATTTAGACACATTTTTTTTTAATAGTTTGTTGTTTCATTCCATGATTACATTGTGGATATGTGTTTATCAAGCAAACAGCCTTGATATAAGGCTGAGACTCTGTGCAGGTCTTGCAATGAGAGACTCAGTGGTGGAACCTTAGTTTGTTTTTGTGATGGCCTCAGTTTGGCGCATCCTTAGTTTGCAGAATCACAGTCCTAGGGCCAACTTATGGTCTGATCAACTTTGAACAAACACAGTATCAGTCTATACAATTACAAAATAGAACTATATCCTTATAGTTAAAAATATGATCACTTCAAAAGGGCACCTGTGCTATTGCATATACATGCATGTTCTACACTGCACCATACTTTTTGAAACTATCCATCAAAAGTAAAATGTATATATATATATAGAGTATGCTATGTTTCCTTTCAAGCCCTGGAAATTATCCAAAAGTTGTCACAGAATACATACTACCAAGCCTTGGCGTAAACATGTATGCTTTTGAGCAAATTAAAGTAGATCAAAGATGGACCATTAGGTTGCTGACAGTAGATTAAACATTGGCAATGACCTTGAACCTGGTTTTCCTTAGGTGAAAGCCTGCCCATGGTTAAACAGTGATGCACTCACAAGCACTTCACTCACAAGCAAGCAAAGCACATTCTGAAAAATGTGTGGACAATAACACTGTGCACTCTTTTGGACAAAAAACTGTGGGTTGATTGGATGAGTGAAAAAATGTGTGGGTGGGCTGTATGAAGAAGTGAATGTGTGGATGGTTGAACAGAGATGCTATGAGAACTGCTGCTGGGATGGAAGGGCAAATGGTGGTGGGAAGGGCTGGAAGTTCGATTGAGGGGCTCAATGAATGTTGAAAACTTGTTGGACTTCAATTGAATGGGATGATTGGCATGTATATATTGCAGTGAGTGATGTTTGGTTGGCATTAATTTTCCTTTCAGACCTAAATAGGTTGCTACCAAGAATCGGGCCAAACTGAATTCAATCCGTGGTTGTTCCTAAGCTTGCCACAAGTGCGATTACCTCAGTGTGCCTTAGTGTGACCCTTAGCCCACACATATGCATTATTTCCTGCATGGCCGTGAGTTGGCTTAAGATGAATGAAGTGGATGTTTGAAGCCAAATTCTGAATCCAGTTTTTTGCCACAAACACTGAGGTTTGGAGAGCTCATTAATAACTAGTCTTCAGCTTGCATACACAAAGAAATATGAACTGAGAGCATCAATGGGGAGCTTGGCAAATTGACAGGACAAAATGAATTGATGACTAGAAAAGTGTGAATGAAGCTCAAATCAAGGGTGCAATGAGGCAATGTGTGACTGGTGATTGAGAAAGGAGTGTGTGGTGCTGAGGTGTGGCCAGGAAATCTTGAAGATAGAAATAATAGATGGGGTAGGCTTGGAAGGAAATGGCATGAGTTGCAATGGGTTGATGGAGTGAAAATCAATACCCAAACATGAAACAACCACCATGACAGTGTTTGACACCTAGTCCGTGTTCAACTTGACAACTGGTTTTGTGGGCGATGACCTTAGCATGCCTTAGTGTGAGCCTTAGTCCAGAGTCATGCACTCTTTCCTGACTGAACTTAGCCCTTTTCAAATTTGACTCTGAGAAGTGTGAGTGGTTGCAATGCAACTGAAGAAAAGAAAGTATATATATCCAGAGCTGGCACTTTGTTTATTTCTTATAATATATTATATATTGTTGAACTGAACAGTAGTTTTTTGATGGTATTTTCAAAGAAATTCCAAAGTCCTGGATATTCCCAAAGACCTTGGCTATAGATATTTATCCAGCCTGGAAGTATGAGTCCTGCATATGTGCAAGGACTGAAACTCAGTGCTCCACTGGTGTTGCCCCTCCCCCCCCCCAAAAAAAGAAGCACCTGTTCGGTGCTATCCACCTATTCGGTGGAAAGTTTAAACAAATTGCCTTCTTGAAGTTGAAGATGTCTAGTTCCTTAGTGGCCTTAGTATTGCTTCATTCCTGACAGGGCCTGACAGACAGGTGCGTCTCAAAACTGTTTCGGTTTACTTGCAAAATCAAACACATCAATACATTTACTCAAAGAAACTCACACAAAGCAAGATCATGGATGTAAAATGCCAAACTACATTTAACTTAATTTACAATGTCTACAATTTTTTTGCTCACAAAGAAGTTGCTACAACCTAGATCAGACAACCTAGATCAGTTAAAAATATATGCCAAACTCTCTGACTGATGACTTGGTCCAATTTGCCTAGTGTCAGGCTTTAAGTAGCACGACCCACCCCCGCCCCTGTTTTGGCTTGACACCTCAAATTTACATTGCTGCAAAGAAACACCATCATGAAGCAACTCAGGGTGTTCAGGAACTCCACCATAAGTTACAGATATGTGGTTTAAGACTCATAACAAGAAAAAATGAAACTATCACAATCAAAGACCAAACTATCACAATCAATGATCATGGGTTTAATTCCCTTGTTACTAGTAGTATGGCCAGGAGCCCCTAGTAGCTTCTTGTTACTACTAGTAAGGCACTTGTTACTAGAAGCGATGCACTTGTTACTAATAGCTTCTTGTTCCTAGTAGCGTTCTGGACCTAAGGCTCCTGAAGCGACCCGTCAAAGAGGCCGTTTTCGCAGCCTTGTCCCCCCCGGACTGGAGACGCTACCTGAGCTCCGTCAGTCGCTCCTAAGCTGCAAATGGACATCGCACAGAACTCTCTTTCCCTTTTTTTATCTACGTTTATTTCGACTCCTTCAGATCTATTTTTTGTTGTCCCTATCTCGTTTTCTTTTTCTCGCTGTGATCTTCTTCTTTTTAAACCTGGGGACCTGTCTTGTGTTTTTCATTTCTCTTTGCTTCTGATTGGTCTCTCTTCCTCCCTCTCTCCCTTCCTCCCTCTCTCTCTTTACTAATTTATCTCCCCTTGACCATGCACAGACAGGGAGACCGAGAGAATGATTCTGTTCTACGCAATCGGGGCATGAGAAAAAGCATTGAAAAATGCTCACCAACTTTTGTATTATCTACATTCTTCAGACAAATGCCAGGTGCTTCACCTGTTGAACAACAAAGAGTTTCAACCGGGTATAGCAAAGTGTGGTGTGCCAAAAGCAACCTCACTTGCTTCAAGCGGCTTTTGTGGCAAGATGCAATGAGGCTTGGCCTGGAACAAGGCAGTCGCCTTGAGACTTGGTGGTGAGATGCCGCTGCGACCCGTACCAGGGGACCTTGTTTGGGATGAGACCTTTGGCCGAAGCGGTTTTAAATGCGTTCTTGTTAATTTGCCGGGCGGATGACAAGGGTTTCACGATCCTGGCCCTGAGGAGAGCGGGTGAAGGAAGGCCAGTCAGCGCCAAGGAGGCAGACGAGGATCGTTGGCACTTGAAGGACGTGGTGCTGCCTTTGCCTCGTCCAGGGTCACCGGTGCCTGAAAGTGGTGGACGCTTGGCCATGGAGGCGCTGGTCAGCATGCCCTCCAGACTCCAGACATAACCTGCATGCGTGATCTTGCGCGTTCATATGTTTACATGTAGAACATTGTAGACATATATATATATATTGCAACGATACACACACAGATGTATGTCAATATATATATATACACATATTATATAGTTACATATTTTAAAAGTATATATACATACATGCAAGCTTCGAAATACATTTGATTGGTGCCTATTTGGATCGCAAGATGTGACTAGGCCACGGTTTACTCATTTGCTGGCAACCGATCACCTTTGCGGACTCTGGAGGCCGTGCTGCGGGACTTCGTTCCGACGGAAGATTCCACTGAGCTTCCGGAGCTGAAGGAGTTCATCCCATCCGTGCGCCACATTCTCAGTGTTCCAGCAGATCTCACCTGGGACTCATGGCCTGCACTTGTGTGTGAACTTGGCGACTGATTGTGGCATGATTACTGTATACTGCATATGGCATATGACAAATTACTGTAACTTGGCTGGATCAGGATTTGGTCGCAGCTTTGCATCATTCCACCATTGTAACATGTTGTAAGTTGTAACCCACATGTGTTAGGAAAGCTAGACACATTGGACAAGCGCCCCGAGGATGTCGACGAAGGTATGGTCGATTGTGACTTGGTACGCTTGGGCCTGGCAGAAATGCCACGAGGCCGCGCGATCCGAGCAGAGACTGTGGCCCTGCGGCTTCGAGCCACACTCAGGAGGCCTGCTCAGCATTTGTTCAGAGGCTGATCGGGTTTGCGGCTGCGTTTGTCGCCTTTCAGGGCAAACAGTGATGTGAAAAGGGAGACAGGATGAGAAAGGTGTAGAACCTAAATGTGCCCAACAGCTTTGGTGGGCCATGAGGATGAGGGATCCAGAGGAAGCCTCGAAAGATTCGATGTGTTTTAATGTTTTTTTGCTTCGAAAGCCACCGCCAGCAGGACAGAGAGTGCCGAAGCATTACTGAGAGAGGTCTTGAAGGCAGGGAAGATGTGTGTTCAATATGCCCGTGAATGATCCTCTATAAAATGCCAGTCATTTCCCCCATTCACGGAGATGTTATTTGTGTTCTGATCTGTCTCTACTTCGGCCTGCCGAGGCCAACCCTTCAGACTTCCAAGAAGGCCTCGATCGCGAAGACGAAGTCTTTTGATGAAAAACAAAGACGAAGTTTTTCTGCAGATTGTTCCAATGTTTGCCGTGAAGTCTCATTGTTTTGTTCCAAAGAGTGTTTGCAGACCTCGTTTTGCAAAAGCAGTTGCTACACAATCGATGCGAAGGCTAAAACAGAGAATCAATTTGGGAAGGCAACTGATCTACGCATACACTACAGATCACTATAGTACTCAAACATACTCAAACAATTTGAGCCGCTGATTGAACATTATGCATCTCAGAAATACAGAGATACAGAGAGAGCTGTGAATGAAGTGCTTCCAAGAGACCGAAGGATCATCGGGCTTGTGGGCACACTGCCAAAATTGTTGGCATCTAGGCCGAGCCGATTTAGCACAAGTTGCTGGTTAAGCAAACAAGAACAACAAAGCGCTGTGTGGCCATCATTTTGGCCGTCGCCATGTCGCGGGAAAAAGCCACCGTGGTTCACGCCATTGACAAGTGCTTGGATCAGATTCTTTGATTGCATGATTGGAAATGATTGGAACATTTATGTGGACTGTGGACATATCCTCTATAGAATCACGGGCGGTTGCTCACTTTATACGTTCTTTGGGCGGACAACCAATCTGGAAACTCCCCGTGAAGGCGCGCCCCCCCTATTTAATGATTGGAAGCATCGTTTTGCGGTTGCTGCTCTTTGCGGCACAGTCACGTTGCTGGTTCACTCGGCCAATGTCTAGGAAGGATGCCACCTATCAAGTCGAACCTTGGTTTGTTTGAGCGGAAGGTGTTGGGAATTCTAGCGAAAAGACATTCTCAGACCAGCTTCAAGCTGTTTTGCATTGTTTAGCATTAAGTAGAAGGAAATTGAAGAGGCATATTTTGGTCACCCACCTGCAGCGTGGCCACATTACTGAGACCATAAATCCAAGGTTGGCCAGTGCTACAATCAATTGCCATCTGCGAGAAGTGGTGCCATCAGTCCCTTCCTCAGCTAGTCAAGAAGATGATCTCACCCTACAGACAGAGCCGAATCCCACACTAAGGCTTAACTAAGAATCTTGTTGCGGGAATTCATATATATGTAAAAGTACATATTATGATTTGTGTATCCTTGTAGGACTTGGCAAAGCTCCAAGAACTGTCCAAGCACCTGGTTCAAGTAGTGAGACTCGGGTTTCTTTTGGTGCAGGTCCAGGTCAATCAGTTCCTTGAAGTGGATCATAGACTACCATTTGGATACTGTATAATATTCAGATAAACTAACGGACCGAGCTTGCTGGTGATATAATATTTCCATAGGAGGTTGAATCTGTGGCAACATGTTCGCTCTGGGGTGACCTCATGATGTAGTGAGGTGCCAGTGACCTCCAGGCTGGAAAGACTGATTTGCGGAGTACGCCACGCCCCCACGTTGAGCGAAGACGAGACCGTAGATGACTACACGGTGCATGTCAGCCTGCAATTCAGAATAAATGTTTGCCGCGGTGAGGGCAATTGAATGGACACATGTGATTATGTACTATGTTTGATGTTGACTTGTACGACGCAAAACTGCCAACTGCTGTAAATAATGCGGAAGTTCCAGGCAGTGCTCACATCTAGTGCCAGATCTCTTGGTTTGCCGGCACAATTCTTCATGGGCAAGGAGCAAATTTTTGAGAGGCCTTGCTGTTGAAGTTCCATGCAGTGCCTCCAAGATTCAAGCAGCAGTCCCAAATGAAATGTCTCAAAGTGTGCCTTGACCGTCGCAGTTTTGATCTCAATGGCAATGGTATGATCGAGGAAGACGAGGCCAACGCTTAGACTAGCTTAGACTTTGTCAATGATGCTTCAAACTAGCCGGTCGGCCGGATTATTAGTTTGGTGACTCTTCCCTTTCATAGGCACTTTGTTGTCCTCTTTGCATCTCCGGCGTTCCAACCTTGCCGTGTCAAGGCCAAGCGAATCATTTGGAAACTACTGCAACACAAGCGACTGGAAGCACAACTGCAATTGGTAGACTCTCCAGTCTTTATGTTGTGCGTCTCCAGCTGTGCTTGCATGTCCAATTTCAATGAAGCAATGCACAATGGATTTGCTACCTTGCTATGACGTGTCAAGTCTAATGGAGCAAAAGCAATGTATTAAACTGTCGTGGATCTCTCGACATTTGCTGAGTGAGCAGCTCTTGCCTACTTGTATGTTAAAGTGTTAAAGCGCTGCGAATGGAAGTGCTGTCCAACCAAGAAAGCAAGAATGGGTGAAGACCTCTCAGTGCTCGCTGATCCTCTCTCACGTGCACATGTCATATCTACCCGAGGAATTGGCCGGTCGCCGGCCTATTAAAGTGCCAGTCTCTTCGGTAGTTGCTCAAGGCTACAGTGTGGTCAAGGAGAGCATGCCAAACGACTTTGTTCTCAGATTGTTTGAATATTATATATATATATGTGTATATTTATGTATATATTCCAGCCGTGTTTTGCAATGTTCCAGCATGTGAGCGGAGAACTGAAAGTCAATTTCAATGGCGAGTTCAGCTAAGTATGCATAGCTGAAATAGGAGCTTGGCCGTGGTGGACAGGGGACCATGTACCTTTGTACAAAGCGCTCTTGGTTTCGCACGTGCGCTGGTTTGCATCATGTTTCAGCCGCGGTCATTCTACCGGCAAACAGAGTGTAATTTTGATTGATATGTTCATGTAGACATGACCAAGTCTTACAACTATTGGATACTATTGGCATTGGTTTATGTGGGTTCCCATCAAGGAACACAGTGTCCGACACAGTCGTAGGTCGTAGGCCTCACAGTCATTCCATGTGGCCAAGGTCGAAATACTGCATCAAGTTCTACGAGTTGCTCGACACACCACAGAGTTGGAATAGCTTCCCTGTTGTGTTTATCAAGTTATATATAGATATGATATATGTGTGTTAATATAGGTTTAAGCGGTTTATGTTGTTGTTCAATTGCATTCTGAGGAAGGCCGATGCAAATGCAGGTGGTCTTGATGATGCTTGCCCGACAAATTTACTTTACTTGTAGGTGCTAGATTTGCCGATGTTTATTTTGACCTGAGAGTTGTGTCATAGCTTGTGGCTCTGCAGATCGCGTGTGCCTTCCATGCCTCAGGAGCTGATGGATGAATATGCCCTGATGTCCAGCTTGGACAATCCACACATTGCGAAAACGTATGAGGCCTTTAAGATGTTCAGACTGATCTCATTCGAGAGCCACATTCTGGATGTGTTCACGACTGCGTTGAGGTGGTCCTAGGCATCAAACATGATCTCTATTGTATATGTGTTCCTGACTGTCCCGTTCAGCCTAGCGATGGATGGAGGTCTTCCAAGACAAGTCTTTTTACTATCTTGCGGGCCTGGCATCATTGCAAGGTGTTGGACGTGGAGTAGTGTCAGATTTGTGAGGACAAGAATGCATTCTTGAGGCACTTTTAACAATTGTTCGATGGAGTCCCGACATGCCAGGTCAACGAGCCATACTTCGGTGGAGACCTGACGAAGTTGGGCAAGAATGCCTATCAGAGCAAAGTCAGGTGGGGAAAGGTCGCCAGGTCACCACAAGCCAAGTCTTCAGCCCACAAGGATCAGCGAGAACTGGTGGCGTGGCATTTTTCGACAGTGCTTGGAAGGGTCCTTCTCTCAGACTGCCAAATGTCCAGCAGGTCATGAGAATCATTCTTCATCTTCATCATTCTTCCAGATGCCATTCGCTGCCACAGGCTTTGCTATTTGCATACACAGGGGGTAATGCACTGCGACATCAAGGACAGCTACACGCCAGTTTTTGCTTAACATGTCACATCATGTCACACAACGACGCACTGGGACTTTCAATGACTTTCACATTTGAACAGAACCGGTCTTTTTTTGTTTATATATCATATGTGCGAGCATCTTTTCGCCACGTGGCGGCACGACCAGACATCAGCAGGAGCCCAACATCATGATTGCAGCCAGCGATTACCAGGTGGAAGGGTTGCAAGGAACCACCGAAACAGCAGCTCCATCCAGTTCCCAAAAGCTGGGCGGAAGACTCGTGCCCAAGATGTTTGGAATTTCTTCTGTTCATCACCGAACTTTCTGCGCGGAGTGAGTGTTTCGGATGCTATAATTGGAGCATAGGCTTTGGGGGCAAGTTTCCGGGCAAGGATATTGGCTGACTCAATTTCACAGAAATCACATTTTTTGGTTCATGTTGGTCTTGAAGACCGAGCACTAGTGTTTTGTCGGGGCAGCCTGTTTGAGAAAGTTTCTGGAAGCAGGCTGTACGATGGTGCTTGAAGTACTTCAAAAATCATTCTCGCCTATTCCCAACCTGGTACATGACTAACGTATGACTACACGAGCGATATACTTATTCTGCTCAGGGTACGGCATGCATACAAGACCAACCAATATTTGTTGACTCTGACACAAACGTTCCGCGACATTTCCAAAAACACACATGCGTGCCGTCCGCTCTTCCGATGATTGCTTGGAAAGTGGCCCGGCTGGCCGGGCCAGCCATGAAAGGTGCCCCATGTCGTCCTGATTGACTTTGGCCTTTCAACAGCGTGGCTTGACCTCAAGCGTGTCTTTGAAAGGGCATTTGATTTGATCATGTTTGATCAGATGTCTACATATCTGAATGAACAGTTTTGGCATGTGCGGTCACGTGGTGAACCAACCACCCAGCACCAATCCCTAAATGCAACAATGGATTTGTCTAAAATGTTGAAGGGGTCCCACCCAGTTTAGCCTGCCCATTCACTGCTTCATTTGGCCTGGTTTGCGCATCAGGTTGGGTCCAATTCTGGTTGGCAAGTAGGAGTGTGATGCAGGCATTATCGTGATGCGGCATCACAATGACTTAAATAATGTCATCCAATGCAACTGCCATACCCTTTCTGAAAGGCTAATGTAATACTTACCAGTTCGGCTGGTGTGGGCAGACAAGAGCAAGCTAACGCAGCGGTTCTGCCGCTGTGCTGGACAACCACCTTGGTTACCATTGGTATCCGGTTATACCTAGTGGTCACAACAAACACATACAAAAACCATCAATCAAACACGTCTCAAGAAGGCGCCACGTCTCAATGCAAGGTTCACGAGCAACCGAGAAGGAGTTTGTGGCACGCCCGGCTACATTCCACCCGAAACGTGGAGGCGGAGATGATGACGGAGACAACGGATGACGGAGACAACTGACCAAGCCACCTGTAGGGGCCAAGGAGAAGGAACTAAGTAAGTGAACCAAGTAAGGGGCCAAGGATCTACTAGCTGCTTGACGGATGAGGGCGGGGAGGAGATTCCTTGAAGAAGCGCTTGCACCATTCATTTGGTTACTAGATGTGGAGAATCCTGTAGACACATCACTAATTATAGACTATGTATGTTCAATTGCTCGACCTCAGCTGCGCGTCATGCTGCACACTGCATTGCAGATCTTCTGTTCAGGACTGGTGTTTGGTATCCACGGGGTGATGTCTTCAGCATGGGGGTCGTGCAGCTCGGCAGTGCGATTCAGCCAGGTTCACATTTTTTGTATCTATTTGTTAGCTTCCCACCGGAATTCGGGAACAACTTTTGGAACTCTTACAATTGCCAATTGCACACAACAACTGAGGTTCTTTCAATGTGTTTGTGGTATGGTGCCCACCTTGGCTTCCTGTGCGGCAGGTCTTCATGCGTCGCAATTGGCAAAGATATGATATCAGCCCTTCTTCCAACTTCTGATTCCATGCGTTCCTTGTGAACATACATGTCCTCGGAAAGCTGTAGCAGATCAAGTTGAGTCGGTTCATGGGCTTGGCTTGTGATGGCCTGTGCCATCATATGGGGCGACAATCAGAGTACCGCTCTCGATGGTAAGAGATAGAAACTTCACAGCATCTTGATCAACGGTTTCAACAACTTTATTCGGACGAGCAAGCAGTGCAAAGAGCATGAAATCAAGCAGTACAGGCAGCGGCAACTGGAACCTTACCCTCAAGTTCGGATAGTTATAGGGTCACCCATGCTGCTCAACCAAGCTCAAATGCCTTGGGTTCTTCTCCAAGTTCTGAAAAAGTTTGGCTTCTTGCGTGATGGACAAACGGTAGCCTGCGCGGCAAGCCCGCGCTTTTGCGGCCCATGTTTGTCTCGCCATCGCATGCTTCTCATCGTTCCTCAGCTTACTTGCAGAGGTTCAAAGCCTCAATGCTACCATCACCACTTGGCACCGGTACTAACAACGACTGGAGAGATGTACACGGACAACAGATATCAACAGATGGGCTCCAAGGAATTCTCAACACCCAATGGCCACTTGGGCCCCCTGTTGTGCCAATGCCTTCCATGCAAGGAAAGCACCGCAGCAGTCATGGGAGAAGGCAGCAACTTGCCCTCCTAGGCCAGAATTTGGTCGTTCCAAAGGGCAGATTTCAGCCAAAACAAGCTGTTCTAATTCTAATCAGTACATGTAGCACACAACCGTATATATATATACATAATTTCCTCATGGATGTATACGGGCCGCAGACAAGTCCTTGCGGTCTTGAAAGTAGCATCGATGCACAAGTCGGAAAAATGACCGTCGATGCAGTCCGCTGACCAAGTTCAAGTCCCTGCACTCATTTCAGGTGTCGGCCTTTCGTTGATCAATGCTGCGGCCTTCGCTCGTCCTCGAGGATTTGGTGCCGTTCCTCTCAAGGAGCACAATTGGACGGCACAGACACTTACAGCATGTTATAGCAAATCTAGCAGGCTCAAATTGCACATGTTTAAAAACATTACATGTAACATCATGTAACTCAGAATAAGTTGAAGTATTACTTAGTCATTTAGTCTGTGCGTAACCTTTGGTTTGACTTTCATGTTCACTTCAACTGCGCTCTGACTTTTTACAAGACCTTTGAAACAAGAGCACATTGCTCCGAGTGATAGAAGAGGATGGCTGCAGGACACCAAAGAGGCAACTGTCATCGATGTCTCTCCGGGAAGAGTTGCTGGTGCTGTCGGTGTGGCTCTTAGAGAGAACGGGTTCCTGATGGCCCTATTTGGATATAAATCTATGTGTTTGATGCCGGATCACTATGTCATTATGTCCACTTACTTTTGGCTATGAATGAAGCGAGAGCGCACGCGTCCATCCTTGGCTTGAAGCTACTCACAAGAATGCCCTTTGTCAGCCACGCCTGAGGTTCAATGCTCAAGGCGCAGAAGCGGCCAGGTGTAGATGTGGTCATTGCAGGAGGATCTCTAGCAGGGTTGTGGCTGGCCATGCTGCTGAGTGCAGGCACTTCCTGCCACAGTCAACCAAACGTGATGACACCGCACAACAAATCGTACAAACAAGAGAACCGGAAAATGTCAAGGCGTTGCTATTGGCAAAGTAGCACGTGTCCGTCTCTACAAGGCAGGTGGGCACGACAGTTGAGAACGTTGGTGGGCTGAAGTTTTGTGTAGGAGAAAACACACTCACGATACGGCTTTGTTATGCTGTATGACACTGTGCGTTTTGTTTGTGTCATTGCTTCGTGGCTTGGGCCAGGGAAAGGCTTCAAAGAAGTTCTCCGAGGACCACAGTTACTGTATTTGATTCATTGTCCCATGGAGTGCCATGGAGCATGTTTCGTGATCGTTAGGACACCCTTGAGGTTGCCACACTGGAAGGCATGCTGTGGTCTCAAATTCCTGATCATTTCAGAAAGGTTTTGACCTCCATCGGTTTCTTGGCACATTTGGCACAGTGGCACAGTCATACTCTGTATAGTATGGTAGGTGTGATGAAATGCTGCCGGTTTTTGGATGAAGACGAAGAAAAGCTTGAACGTGCGGTCTCCAAAACACACTCCGGCTCGGGGCGAAGGCCCAAAGACGTCAGATAAAGTCTGGTGACTGGTGGTCGGTTCGATTCGACTTATCCTTGATTGCATGTGTAATCCATACACTCCATGGGACTGCCATAGATGCTCACCCCCCAAAACCACCCCAATGTAGGCATATGGCATACATGGAGTGTTTGGGTAAGGAGGGCATGGAAACGGCGTCTCCTCAGTTTTGCGATCATCACCAAGGATTTGCCGAACAGTGGCCCAAGATGGAAGAGTCTGAAGAAGAGTTCCCACGCAATGTGGCAGTTTTCCGGCTCAAAGACGCCCTAGAGAAGTACCTTGAGGAGGCGCAGAGTGCGGCACAGAGCCTGAAAGGGAACCTGGTGAATCCCACCGTTTCGAGAAAGAACACAATACAATTCTATAGTTGTATATACTGTTTACCTCAATTATAGAAGAAATTGCGGCTATATATCTTCTATTTGAAATGCATCTGGGAGGGTGCCATCCGTACCATTCAAATAGAAGACCCCATTAATTATTTGATTAAAAATGATCAAATTTTTGGTCTTTTGAGCTACTTTTGCATTTTGGACTTTCTGCTCAAAAACATATATCTTCTATTTGAATGTGGCTTGGTGGGGTGGATCTTCTATTTGAAAATGATCTTCTATTTGACTTTCCTACCGGGCCTTGCTTACTGTTTTAGTCTTCGGGGGTTCTGATCGCCCGCCTGGCCCAAGAAAGCATGTGGCGGCAGGTGCATTTATATATATATATATATAGAGCTAGCAGGCAGTATAGACAGAGCCAGCAAGTAGAATAGATAGAAACCACACTAGATAGAGCTAGAATCTTTATCAGAGCTCAGAGATGAAATAGAAACCAGTGTATATATATAATAATCCAACAAATACTAAAAGCATTACCAATTATATACAAAGAGATTGCTTGCAGTTGGAAAAAACCGAGCGCAATTCAAATAGAAGATATTACTTAATTAATTTTGTGTAAACATTCGCCCACCAAATAGTTAAAACTAATATCTTCTATTTGATGTTCATTTATGTTCATTTATATCTTCTATTTGACTTGTTATGTGCGCGCTTGATGAGTCAATGGTAAGGCATCCCAAAACACAAAAAAACTGCAGGTTTTTTTGCAATGTTCTACCAGTCCAGACAAAAATGGTCATGTTGCAAGAGTTGCTCCCTATAGGCCGACATAGGGTGCAAAAATCCAAGAATTTTCCGCCGGCTAGCCCGAGTCATGTTAGAGGCAAACAAGCAGGATTTGCTGTAAATACCAGTGAAATGTCGCTTCCAAACTCCTTCAAGAGGTTTTGACCAAGAAACGCCAAATTTGATCTCAGGAGCTACCTCTGCGACTGTATATATCTTCTATTTGACACGTTGCCTGGGCACCCCCAACTCTGCATCTTCTATTTGAATTAATTCCCGAATATCTTCTATCTTTGCGGTAAACAGTATAACTTGTCTCTATGTCAGATAACAAATTTGGACATGATTGAATATGAATGCATTTGCAAGATGCTAGAAGCGCAAGTCAGATGAGTCAGCCTTCCAACAAATTGTGCAGAGGCAGATTGCGTGGAGCTCATCTCCGAGGATTATAGCCTGGCGGAGCATGGAAGTTTGCTGCGAGAAGACGACCGTCCTCAATGCATCGCCTTTGCAGACAGAGCGTCCTTGAAGGAGGGTCTTTGATGTTTTTATGTTGTCAAGGAGCTCAAGAAACGGAATTTCCTAGACCATAGGAGTTTCTTCGTGCCAGGCATGTGAGGAGATCTTTGAGGATCTTTTTGCACGACCGATTCCTCGAGAAGCTGGCGGGTTTCTGGTTGCTCCAGAGAGGACCCTGGCCGCAACCTGGCCTTCAAATGTTCCGTTTGACCGAACATTTTTTCAGATCATGACTTTTGAGATCTTTCGAGCAGCGGATGCAACCCCCAAGACTTCACTTCGTTTTTGATTTGCATCCGCTGCTCGTCTTGTGGCATCCACCGCTGATCGTTTGGAGGTTCTGGTCTCAGCACGTTTCAGGTCTCGGTCTCTGTGGACGAAGCACCACCTCTCGGAACGACGATGGTGCTGAACTGGGCTCAGAGGAGATATTTCCTCAATTGGGCAGGCGAAGGGGAGTGAAGGGGCACCAATGGGTACCAAGCCGTCGGTTTGCCCGCTAAAAAAGGATGAGTCACCACAAGCCCAAAGACAGAATCATTGAGATATGTAATATATATATATATGTGTGTATAACTATTAAAATTGATATATATGATATGTAATACACATATATATATATATGCTAGCCCCCCCCAAAAGAAAACAAACCTATGTTTCTGAGTGCTGGTGTGCAGTTGGTAAGCATATTTGTTCATTTAACTATGTACTACAAAAATGTCCAAATCCATAAGGTTATGTGTTTACTAAACAGTTCTTGGATGGAGTAATCTACTTTGTATGTTCAACTCTACTCTACTTTGTATATTCAAATTCAAATTTGAGTCTAGTTCAATTATTTGTAAATCATATTTTGATTCAAAGGTCTATCAAAGGTCTATCACTATAGATTCTAATTTACTTGGGATTCAATGCAAGCCTAATTTTAATTTGATTTCAAGCTAATTCTAACTTCATTGCTATACAAGTCAGATTCAATTCTAATAGTGTATTCTTTTTCAATTTAGGTTTAATTTGAGTGAAATTCTCATTTACTTCTAGAGAAGTGGTGTTACTTTGAACATGAGAGATTTTATGTAGTTTTTCCAATATAGAAGAATGTGCTTTCTTAAATTAATTAAATTCACCACCAGC